ATTTACACGGGAGGTGACAGGGGAAGTTGAGATTATAATTCTAAGAGTTACTTTGACCGTTTTTTCCACCAGATGCTGGTTCTAACTGCACCAAGTGCTCCAGTCTCTAAATCATCACTTAGCATCCAAGTGCCAGTCTCCAGGGGACATGCAATCGAACAGATCCTAAAATAAACATCTCTTCTTTGCTTCCACAGCTGCCAACACACTTGGGAATGTGTCCCTCTGTGTTTGTAGACGATGGTGGTGGTTGACTTGAGAAATGGAAGATGGAGGAGGGGGATAATTTTGGCTGCGAGAAATATAGAACTTAGCTCCAGTGACTCAAATAAACAAGGGTTACTTTTGTCCCATTAAAAGGAGTGGAGCTCGGGTTTCTTGCGTGCACAGCGCCAGGCGTGGAGTCTGTGCCGGAACAAGGGCAGTGGAGGGGCGGGGGACGTTGGAATCAGGAAAATAAAAGCTTTCCGAGAACACCGCAGCGGACATCTGCTCATCTCTCCCTAGCCAGGGCTGTGTCACCTCTCTGGCAGCGCTAGGTGGGTGGTCTTTGGATTGAGAGAGAACTCATGAGTAGCAACACAGACTTTACTCCTACTCACAAAACACATACGTCTTTCCAAATGAGGCAAGAACACCACCTCCTTAACGTCAAAATATTTTAACAGCAGCTCCTTGATCCTGGATGTCCTGAAGGAGAACCACAGACACGGAGCCACGTAGTGACTCCACGTGGGCCCCACGTCCCACCACTGCAGCCACCCTCATCGTTACGGATTCTGACCAACTCCAGCCCCCAGGCCCCTTCCCTGACTCGATTCCTCGTTCCTTTGAAATGCCCCATGATTCTGCTGTGGTTCCCTCTGGCGGGAGGAAGTGGGTAAACCTAACTTTAGTTGCAAGAGCGTTTCTGCAGGGGTTTGGCTCCATGGTCACACCTGAAGAGGTTAGAGACAGGGGGGTTGAAAATCGGAGCTGTACTGGACGTCAAGAGACGTTTGCCACAAGGGACCCACGATGTAAGGCGGCTAGGAGCAGGCTGAGGATGCTAATTATTCAAGGGGAAACAAAGATGATGGGCTGGATAGCTCACCGTTTTCAGAGTGTTCTAACAACTGAGGCTTGGATGGCGGTTCTCCTGGTCACCATGGCGATGTTGTCAGACACATTGTCATATTGTACAGTTGACTGACATATACTTGTTACATCCTTACATCCAATTGACCAATCTCCACCATTAGCCTTTCCATCTAAGGAGACGGTACCTCCTTCCTTCCAGTTGCTTTTACCCCATCACGTCCTCTCTTCCTCGCATGCCCCACATTGGCTCCATCAAGAAACGCCACTGACGCCACCTTCTAAATATATTCAGAATCAAGCCAGCTCACCTCCTCTCGTGCCTGTGCCCAGTCCGAGGACACCAGCATCTGTCACCTAGATACTCTATAGGCTCCGGGCTCCTACCTTACCTCGTCCTGTAGCCAGTTATCTTTTCAAAATCTAAGCTAGATCACATCCTTGCTCCACCCAAGACACCTGCAGTGACTCCCTAGTCCCATCAGAATAAAAACCAAGTCTCACCATGATCTCCAGTGTCCAGAACCGGACCTCCAGGACTGCTCTGGCCTCCTTTCCTGTGACCCCGCCCCTTGTCCTTCTAGACTTGCACCCTGGCCCCTTGCTGAACCTAGGTCACGCCAGGCTGCCTCCTTGTCTTGACGATCCCCTTTTCCCATAATGCTCTTCCCCAAACGGGCCAGTTCTGTTACCTCTTTCAGGTCTTCAGCCATTATTATCTTCCCAGTGAGGTGAACGCTGACCAACCTATTTTCACCTGCAACTCAACACCTCAGTCTCGTGGAATGCCAGTCTTCCTGGATTGGCTCTGCCTTTATTCCCATGGCATGTATTCCTTGTCACTTACGGTGATATTTACTTGTCTATTACACCTGTCCTTCCTCCCCTTCCTCCAGAATTCAGTAGCACAAGGACTGCTGTGTATGTTGTTCAGTGATCTGTGGTGAGAGCCTAGAACCGTGCCTGGCACCAGGAGGTGCTCGGGAAATAGCACTGAATGAACACTCTAGAGCCTGGCATGCTTGCTCTTTCCCTGATCCCATGCCGTGTTCAGAAAACAGACCAGAAAACAAGACAAGCCACGTGTGAATCCGCACATAGAGAGAGGAAAATGAGTTGAAATCACAGGGCACCTCCGAACGGCACCCAGCAAAACCCCTTTCGTATCATCTTCCCCAAACGATTCCCCTAGGTTCTGCTCCTCAATTCACTGAAGCTGTTCCTGTGGTCTCCAGACACTTTAGAAAGATCACGCCTGTGGTCGTGTTTGTATTTCTCACCCCATGTTTTCATTTATCCATTTTAAAATAAGCTTTCAAAACGTCGGGCTGAAATTTGAAAGGAGAAAAGTAAGAAAGAGCTGATGTAGGCTTACTGAGGGAGAATTTACGTAGCTTGAAAATAAAATGGGAGAGATCAGGCAATGGCAAAATTTTAGTTAGTGGGGAGGAAAGGAATCACACCGGAGGTGGGCTGGTGGGGTGCCATTGAAGTGTGACCTCATGGGTCAACACTACCTGAGGGCAGGCTAAACCCACTGGTCCCCTCACCTGGATGGACACAGGTGAAATCATCAGGGATCTCGACAGTCTGAAGAAGGTGAATCCGGTCTTGTGTCCTATTTACAAAAATACAACACTTCACAGATGAAAATTTTGATCTGGGGACATTTTAGGTAAAGAAAGGAATCAGCTATTCCACACATGGGTAGTTGATGTACAGAAGCCATTGCCTTAAAAAAAAATGAGCCAAATAGAAAAAGGGTTCCATAGCAGTTTTAGGGAATTCATGGACCTGTATCAGAGGTGACCACTTTCCCAAAGTAACTCCTCCGGGGTACTGCTCAGGTGGACAAGAGAGATATTCCTTGTTCTGTCAGCTACGGGACACTTGACAACATGGACAACGGACTGACCCTTTTCGGTCAAAAATAGTTTTTATATTCCTATGGCTGCCCCAAATTGAAATGTGCATTCCCTATGCTACATCTTCACCAGGAGGTCCATCTGCCACACACACCCTTCATTTACCAAAATCTCATTCATTCTTCTTCTTTTTTTAAAATATGTTTTTTATTAGATAGAGAGAAAGGGAGAAGAGGGAGAGAAACACTGATGTGAGAGAGATACATCAATCGGCTGCCTCCTGCACACCCCTCACTGGGGATCGAGCCCGCAAGCCGGGCATATGCCCTGACCAGAAATCAAACCAGGACCTCTCAGTCCGAGGGATGGTGCTCAATCCACTGAGCCACACCGGCCAGGCTCATTCATTCTTTTGAGGCCAATATAACTCCTGTTCTTTCCATAGGAGTAAGACATTACAATTTCAACATTTCTCCTGTACTCCTTTGGTAGCAAACAATTTAAATATAATGCCCAGGAAACACGATGTTTGAAGTGAAACAGCAATATCGCCATTAAAATCTCGCCTGTTTACAAAAGCCGAATGAAATAACTTGGTTATAACGGACAGAAATTATTGTATTATTAAAGCTACTGGCATGGAAAATGGACAAGGTACTAAAACATCTCCATATGCTGTATAACTATTACTAAGAAGAAAAAATCTTCCTGTATGGAAAACAATTATTAAAATGTACAGATAAGCATCTAATATCGGAACATATGATCATAAAACTTTCAACTCTTGGTTCTTCTGATTACTGCTACCATTTCCATTAGGCAGAAATAACAGCTCTTATATTATATTGATGGTTCAAAAATTAGGAGTATATTTCTATTCAAATCCTTCATTATTCTATTTAAATATAAATTGCTTAGGCTCTCAGGATGAATATTTACAAATACATAATAAAAATCAGTACTGTGATATGTCAAGTTTCATTACAAATATATTAAGCCTTTAAAAAGTTCAAATCCATAGCTTTCAGAAACTGTAATTTGCATTGACACAAATACTATTTTATTAAAATTATATAGAACAAACTTACTTTACTATAAATGACTTGATATACTTTTAAGAGTAATTATATGTTTTGAATGACTTCCTCAAGGATCTCCTCTTAAATAAAATAATATTATTAGAGACTTAAGATGTGTATGTTGTTCGGGGCATATTGAGACTTACAGAACTTTTATCTTTCAAAATAGAAAATTAACAAAATTATTTTTCAGGACAAGATAGCCCTCTAATAAAAGATTTTGAAATGACTTATAAATCACCTAAATTTATCAGGTTAAATTCAGCTCATAGTTAGATGTGGTTTGATTCTGGGCAAAACATCTGAAAATGAACTATTTTCACATTGGAAGGAAAGGCATTTTTAGAAATACATTAAGGTAGAGTATGTAACGCTGTCACAATATTTCATATAAAAGTGGTATCTTTCCACGGCGTGCGAAGTCAACACAGCTCCTCCCCAGATTTGCCAAAACTAACAAAGATTAGATTTTGCAATATTTTAGCAAGTATGTTTTGTAAGCAGATTCAAGTACATTAAATATTCTGCTTCAGTAGGTACCGACTCTGCCTACCAACACTTTTTAATGTTTCTTTTTGTATAAGAGGGGCTTTTGAGGGGACAATAGGGTAAGGATGAGTCGGGACCAACTCAAGGGGAGAAGGGATATTTCTGCTGCTGGGTATAGGAATCAAAGCTAGAAACAGACCGAGTTCCTTCATAAGTCAGCTGTTGCTTGCAACGCCACCTACATAATGTTCACCTTCACGGGGGGGAGGGGGGAGGTCGGTGGACTGATGCGACCTCACAGATTCTTCTGTCACAGATATCCGTGCCCCGACATCAACGTCAGTGCTAAAATCACATGTGTGGAACCATGGGCATGGCAAATAGCTCCTCCTGCCTAACCCCTGAGGGGCGGGTGTTTCCCTCCTCCCACGACATAAACACGAATTTGGAAAGCCTGGACAATCCGAAGTAGGATGGAAAGACCGTGTACCTGTCTATGATGGCGCACATGTCAATGCTGACGTTCGCGAAACTTCCTGGCCTCCTCTGCGCCACCTCGTATAAATTTACCAGCTGATCGTCCACTTGAATGAGCTGCATGCATCCCTGGAATGAAGGCTGAAGGACAGCGTGGCTTGAGTTATGCATCTGGTTCAGAAAACCTGTTGGAGAGCAGAAACGGGGATGTTAGATCCTGTGTACAGAGCATGCTTCAGTAACTTTCCTCTGGGGATGCTCCGTGACCAGAACCACTGTCTCTTAACTCCTGACTCATTGATCCAGCAGGTGTCGTATTCAGTGCAGGAGAATGAAGTCTTGTGAGAAAGAGATACCATTTCAGGGAAAGAAGTCAGGGTTGCACCTAGATGAACCTTTGGCTCTGGGGTCTAGCATTCCTTATATTTTCTCCTTGAAATCTTCTTTCTCAGTGTGGCACAGTTTGTACTCTGTCCCATTGTTGGTAACATCTCACTACTGTACTCCCATGCCTGACCCTGCCGACACACATTAGACCATAACATTTAGACCTTTCTCAACTGTCCAATTGCCTTCCTCTTATACTTTCAAGACTACCTCTATTTTCTTAATTCCCTAGAGGCCTGTTATTTAGATATCAAGAAGCTAAACTTACTTTATCAATTGAGATGAATCTATTTTATGGATTAATGTCTAACTAAATTCAAAGAGATATTTGCATGACAAATGCTTCTCAATTTATAAAATCCTCATCAACATTACAAAGAATACATTTAGACATAAGGGTCATTCATCTTGCTCTGAATAGCTATCGTATATAGGTTACGTAATATGGTATAGGGAGCATAAATGATAAGAAATGAAACTAAAATTAAACGAGAATAAAGAAGAAGCCTAAAAAATAGAGTAAATACTATTGATTCTATTAGGAATAGCATATCTGTAAACCAAGTTTGAAATCAGATTAACACTTTTATTGCAAAGTAACTTGAAAATAGCACCACTAATCAATTACCATAATGCATTTTCAGTAGAAAAATGCATAGAAATTTTGTAGACCATACGGAATAATATTTCTCAATCCTGTTAAGTATCTCCAGAAAGTTCCCCAAAGCATCTTCTTTTCATATAGTTCCCCACAGCAAAGTCACCTACCAGAGCAAATTTAAACTGTACTAATTTGCTTAAAAACCTGAAGTTATTGACACATTTATTTTGATACACACACACACACACACACCAAAAATAATTTATGTGTGATTAATTGAGTTAAGGACATTTTCAATAAAAAGTCTTTTAAAAAATACCATTAAGTGATTTCTTTTAAAATTGTTTTTATTGATTTTTTTGAGAAAGAGAGGAAGGGGGAGAGAGATAGAAACATCAATGTGAGAAAGAAAAATGCTCGGTTGCCTCCTGCACGCCCCTACTGGGGATCGACTCCACAATCCGGGCATGTGCTCTGACTGGGAATCGAACCAGGACCTCTCAGTCTATGGGATGACGCTCTTCCACTGAGCTACAATGAGGGCAAGTGATTTTTTTAAAGTGTCCTATTTTGTTTGACTAGTAATAGTAGTTGAGGACAACATAAACCCCCTTTCCCCTTTATTAATGGTTTATAATATTTAAAGTCTAATAATTCTCATTTGAACACTCTGTAAGGGGTCATCACAGAGGTGTATTATATCCTCTTCCATTAACAGAATACTTTGTAAAAATAGAATTTTATTTAAATTAATTCCTTGACTTAAAAATTGAACTAAGGCTCTATTTCAATGTCAAATGTATAGATCCTCTATATATTTTTTCTGTCATTTTCTTTCATTTGCATTGACTTAGTCCCCATAGAAATTGCTGATCTTAGAGAAGTCATCTATTTAGACTAGCTGTGTGCATGCATATGCTTTTAAATCTGTAATCAAGATAATATTGAAAGGAGTTAATGTCTAAACTTAGTAGAGAGAAAACATCCAGCCGTAACCTTTATGACTCTTCTTGACAAGATGGTCTTTCGGTTCTGCTTAATTCAAAACCAAGGAGTCTCTAAATATTCATACTAGCTAAGAAGTATTCCAAAATGAGTCGGTCTATTTGTGAGACTAAGACCTTCTTGGAATCAAGGCAGCTGCATAACGTATAGATCACTGTAGACTGGATTGGGTATAATTAAATAAATAAAACAAGACTCCGTGAGTCACTTATAACAATGTTCTGTTTGGCCCTAAGAAATTTTGGAGTTTAAAATTGTAAAGTTCTTTCATTTTTCTCCATGGGATACATTCTAGGAGAAGATAATTATAGGACAAACTATTACATAGGTATTAAAAATTTAAGCCCCTCCCCCCCTTTGCATTCTTTTCAATATTTCCAAGAGGATTCAATTCATTCACACCCTTTTGCAGTCCTCTTCTACATTAATTTAGGGCTGACGTCTCTGGCCAGCAAAGAACTCTGAAGTGGTAGCTGTGTGAAGTCCAAGGCTAGTTTTCCACTTGGCCCCTGAGATTGCTAATCCTGAAAGCTCAGCCATCACACCTGAGCAGTTTTGTGGAGTGGCCCATGAGAGATAACAAAGCCTAGCTTCAAGATATCCTATTTTGGAGTGATTTGTCATGTAATAATTAAATACCCAATAATGAATTTGGTATTGAGAGAGAATCTAACATAAATCTAAAATCACGGCAGTGACCTAGGGGCTGGGAGATCCAAATAAGCTAGATGGGCCTTGAAAGTACTGTCAGGTGAAGCCTAATGGCTCCGGAGGAGGATGTCGGTAATGGCTTGAAGGGAGGTGAGGAAACAATGTTATTGGTAACGAGGGAAATTGGATCCTCTGTGTGTTGCAGTGGTGAGTTTAGCAACACTGTGATGACAGGGAAAGAAAGAAGTTATACTTGAGAAATTTGTAATCAAGCTAATGGCATTTCCAGACACAGAATTCGGACATCTTTCTATTTATAGTAAAAGGGGAAAAGGAGAGAGAAAAGCTAAAGAAAAACTGTTGAACACGAAGAAGTCAAGATTTGATAAATTTGCAGATCAATGTTTTTTCAGTTACAGTCTCTCCAGATGGCAAACAATGCAAAAATTAAGAAACCGTTTTCAGGCAAAGATCAATTACCTCCAAAACAGAATCTAAAGATGACAGTGAAGTGTGACTGGAAAATCCATATTAAGACCTCCAAAATGTACTAGGTGGTGCCTCAAAGAACCATTTAGTCAGACAAAACACCTCTAGGCAGCACATTGGTGTATCTCACAGATGCTCTGAGTTACACAATAGGGATCCTAATAATCTTAAGGGCAGAAACCCAATGTAATGAAAAACAAAAACTGTAATGGAGTAAACCTAAATAACATTCACAGAAAGCCTACAGATTTTTTTAAGAGAACTGTATTGGTGAAAACACCACCAGCTTGGTCTGAAAGGGACAGAGATGGTACAAAATGGTAAAAGGTCTTCAGATCCTCAACTTCTACAGGCAGGAAACTACACAGTTGTAGACCCAGGCTTTGTTTTATTTAAAAAAGAAAGTATAGATCAGAGTGGTTAAACTGAGAAATTAGAAGGCACAGCCAAGAGCCATGGAGAATCATTTCTAGAAAACAGTAGACCTGAGTTCTGGTCAAGAACTGCCCACATGTGCTTGACTAGATTTCAGAACTGCTACGGAGCAGTTACTTTTGTATAACTTATTTTTCTCCATTTAAACCCGAGTTGAAAGTGATAACTCTATGCCTATCCTACCTTTGTGTGCTGGGTGTGTGAGTGGTCTTCAGATGAGCATCTGTATTTGAGTAACTGAACCCAAACACCTTCCTTTGCTCTCAGGAGCCTCATTTGGGTATGAACTTCACCTAGATGGCGAGATACTGGGTTTTGAGCAGATGTCTAAAGGGATGAAACTTTGACAGGCCTTTGGGGGAGGTGAGTGTACTTTCACGTGGAAGAGACATGAATCTCTGTGTCCCAAAGGGCAAAACGGTAACCAGCCTCCACAATAGCCATACATCTTCACTTCCTGTTATTCCTACCTTTGGAGAGTATCTTCCCACATGGAATCAGTGCTGACCTATGTGACAAAAAGGACACTGCAGAAGTGACAGAGCGGTTGTAACTCCCGGGGCTTACTCATCGAAGGCATTGGAGGCTTCACCTTGGTCTCTTGGACCACTTGCTCTGGGAAAGCCAGCTTGGGTGCCACGAGGACCCTCAGGTGCTCTGGTGAGGAGGCACCCACACGGAGCGGAACTAAGACCCACACCGCACAGTCAGCAGCAAACTGCTAGCCGAGTGAGGGAGCCATTCTGAAGTGAGACCCCCGTCCTAGTCAAGCCCTTGGATGACTGAGGCCCCAGGAAAGACATAACTCAACCTCATCGAACACTGCAAGCCAGCACTTCCCAGCCAAGATGCTCCTGAACTAGAAGTTGCTCCCACAGAGAAAGAAGAGAGAAAACTATTACTGTGCCGAGTTACTGAGCTTCAAAGTTGTTCTCTGAAGCTACAGGTAACGACGTCAGATGTTAACAACAGTTTCTGCCATCCCTTTCTCAAATAGTTTTTAAAAATTAGAAACCGCACGACAAAAATGCAGCCTGCCAAACAGAGTGACTGGTGCAATGCTGACCTTCCCTTGTGGCTAGCAGTGGGTTTGAGATACTGGGTCTCTGTGGCTGCCGTCCCAGAGCCTAACTCCCTTTGAAACGAAGGAAGAAATACTATTTACTTTCTGTATGTGTTCCCTGCATAGACAAATGTAATGTCACTAAACATACGAGTGTACTAGTGTCTGTGAGCCCTTCAGTGATGACTCTAAAGCTCCGGAATTAACCTACTTAGATTAGTAGCACTGGTGTTTGGAGCCATCAATTTGCAGGGGAGAATTTGAGGGTGAGAAATGAATAGATATAAAATGGGTAGAAAGTGGAACTCAATAAAAAATTTGCCCATTTAGTGGAGAGAGGGTATAGAATAAAAAGGTAAACATTTGTTTGTTTGGGCTCAGGGCTTTAAATGCATTCTATCTATAAATTTGGAATATGCGATAGTCATACATGGGTCATTATTACTGGGCTCTATACTCCATCGATGTGTTACGACACCTGCCGTGAGTGTATGCATGCATGTCCCAGTGACAGTCACCACCCGGAAACAGGGAAACCTCCTCTCTCTGCAGGT